TAAATGTATCCTATTTTACATCCCTGGTAGGACACTAACAAATTGAATTTCAAAAACTTCAAAATAATTGTGAAGTGGGTCTTCATGTTGCCTGTTTTACTCTTTCACGTACTCGGCTAACTTCGATTGAATAAATGCAGGCTAATTCTTTTATATTATTAACTGCATTAATTCAAAATGTTTTTTTTTAATGGAAGTACTTTAAAGTAATTGAAGAAGTTAGACTCTTTTACATCGAAACATGGTGCTGTTTTTACTGCATTCTAATTGAAACTTCTTGTCTCCGATGTCGTTCAGAATCGATATGTAGGTTACTTACATCATGAAGAGCTCAAGGATACCTCATTTTTATTTTTACACCACAGCGTTTAGCAAAAAACGAAAAATCGATTTCAACACAAATCGATTTCAACATGAATATTAAATTAAAACGCCTTCAATTTTCAAGCAATCTAATACAAACATCACCCAATTGTAGCCAACAATGTTGATTGTTTAACAGTTATTTATCTTGATAACTGAGTCCAACCATATAGTGAAAACTCGCGTAAAAAGCGCAAAATTGCGATTTTTACTGGTTTCTTTCTTATTTTTCGTTGATCATTCAACCAATTTTCATCAAACTTAATGATTGCTTTATAAATGTATCCTCTTTTACATCCCTGGTAGCACACTGAAAAATTGAATTTCAAAAACTCTAAAATAATTGTGGTCTGTAGTAGGTCTTCATGTTTCTTGTTTTACGCCTTCATGTCCTCGGCAAACTTTGATTGAATAAATACGGACTACTTCTGTTATAGTGATTTTCTAAGCCCGGCTTAGATGTGGCACAAGGCCGAAAATATGGGGCACCCAGTGAGGATCGAACTCAATACCCAGTCGTAATTGATCGAGCGAGACAAACTTTGAAACCATGCCACCACGTCGAGGTGCCCGGAGTTCTTTAATTTTATCAGTAACTGCATTAATTCAAATTGATTTTTAATGAAAGTACTTTGAAGTAATTGAAGATATACTCTATTACATCTAAACATGATGCTGTTTTGCTCCATTCAAATTGAACGCTTTTTCTGATCGACCAGCTGAGCATGGCTGCTAGTTATATAATAAATAGAGAACTGCGTCAGTATTTTGAAAATGTGCCCGATTTCATTGAAATAGTTAATTCTGGGACACCCTGTAAAATCTCAAAATGTTAAACATTATTTCCTTACGCTAATCGTAAAACTTTTTACTCTGACTTGACGTCTTAAAATGTTCCTTATTTCTTCTGATTCATATTCCAACCTTTGATTTCTAATATGGTTTGAGAATCCTTTATTCGAAATTCTTGGGACCGGAAGTGCTTCGGTTTTCAGATTATTTCGGACTTTGGAAACAGGCTATGTAATTTGGATGCATATAAAATGGGTCAGCTTGGGAATGGAACCCAAGCATAAACACGATATCCTTTTACATTTCATAACACTGTTTACACACACACACACACACATATATATATATATATATATATATATATATATATATATATATATATATATATATATATACCCTGAAAGTAATTTTATATACAGCACGAGGCAAAAAAATAGACGCACCCGTAGAAAGTCGATTTTTTTACCAATACAAGTGAGTAATAGAATTCGTTTATTAATACAGTGTATTAATACAGGTGTAAATATATACATTATACAAGTTAAAAATGATTTAGTATTTTGTTGTGTAGCTTTTTTCTTTAATAACGGCCTTAATTCTTCGTGGCATGCTATAGACTAAATTCTTTAGTAAGTCAACCTTCGCCAGGTTTTCCAGCATTCCCTTAATTCGCAAAAAAAAGCTCATCTTCTGTGTTAACTTTCCTCTTATGGGCACGCTTATCCATTATCGCCCAAAGGTTGTCAATTGGGTTACGGTCAGGACTATGACTCGGCCACTGGAAGAGTTGCAATTTACCCTCGTCACGCTTCCTCCCTAGATAACGTTTATTCTTTAAGGCAGTATGCTTAGCATCGATATCATTACAAAATCCTTTTTGAATTATGGCTCTCCACAGCTTCCTACCACTTATAACTCTGTTTGTTACCGTTTTAGCATCCATTAACCTAAACGCATTACATAGATTACTCGTTGCTTTCACTACGTCCTGTGAGTTTCATGTTCTCCGGGTCATCTTTTCTCATTATATCGTAGAAATTTAAAATGTTTCCTTCCAGTTGTAAGTATACGTGTTCTTTTAATGTCAGTATTTTTTACAATTTACTCGATGCTCGTGGTATTCTAAGCATTTTCTTTAAAACCACATCACTGTCGCTTCAAGTCTTATTAATTTGTAAGGAAATTGCGTAGTATGCACTGTCATATTTTTTAATCGGTATCACCCCAAGCAAGGTAGTAAAGCCACTAAGACGCAAGGGGTTACTGGGTGTGGAAGAATTAGGAACAGAAATATTAATAATGAGCGGGAAGAAGAAGAAAGCAAGCAACCAGGATGGCAGTAGATAGCGATTGACATTGCATTTAAATTTTGGCAGCTTAAATTCGCTGGAAATCATGAAACCGGAAGAGAGTTCCACAGGTGAGAAGCGCGAGAAAAGAAACTGTTAGCATAGAACTTACGGTTGCATCTAACCAATACAACTGTAAAATGGTGAGACCTTCTTCAGCTTATGAATAGGCAGAAACATTCTCTGTCATCCTTTTTTTTTTTTTTAATAATTTCACTCAGGGATGGCAAGATGTAGGTCGAACGAGGAAAAACGCTTTCCCCACTGGGAACCGCGCGCACGCGCATGCACACGCGACTTACACTTCTCTAAGACTTCTACACACATTTTACATACACGAACAATTCATTACTCCTTAAATGTTTTTATGCATGTTCATTGTTTTGTCAATGCATTTAAATCCATAAAGTTTCGGTAACATAGAGGAAGAACTGTAGGTATTTATTAAAAAAAAATAGACACAGAGAAACGGTGGTGAGAAAATTACTGATGCCGAGATGTCAGGTCAGGTCCACTAATATTGCAGATTCTCATTTGAATTTCATCAAGGATCTTGACATATATATCAGGTGCAATAAGAAAAATAATTTTATTTTAACAAAACCTATGGATTTTTTTTTAGTTTTTTTTTTAATCCACCGAAGCCACCGAATAAAGTCCCTAAGACAGAAGGGGTTACTGGGCGGGGAAGTATTAGAAACAGAAGCATTACTAATGAGCGAGAACAAAAATATTAATCAGGGGGACAGTAAATAACGATTGACATTGCATCTAAATTTTGGCAGATTGAAGTTGGCTGTTGTTGTAATTTTATCTCATCGCCAAAATGTTGTAACCTAGGAAAGGTTACTGAACAGAATAATCACACGAACGTTGGTAATGAACGATAATGCGTAGCACAAGAACAACACATATAAGATTCGCCAACGGCGCGTAGAAGTAGTCAACTTTTAGAAATGAGTCAAGTGAATTCCACAATGAATCTCTAACTACAGAATATCTACCAACCGCCCTGCGTGATCAGATGTGGCACAAGGCCGAATTTAATGTGGAGTATCCGAGCCTATAAGCTCAGCAAAAAATTCCCCATAGACCCCGTAAAAAACAGGGTCGGTAGCTGTATCTCGAGACGAGACTCTGCCCTTCGTCTGGGGATCCTCTCTGCCCGGAGGCAGAGAGTTTGATCTGAACAGCTGGAAACGAATCTCCAACTGCAGGATATCTGTCTACCGCCCCACGCGGTCAGATGTGGCACAAGAACGAATTTAACGTGGAGTATCCGAGCCCGTAGTCTCGGCCAAAATTTCTCCGTAGACCCCGTATAAAACGGAGTCAGGTAGCTATTTCCCGAGACGAAACTCTTCCCTTCGACATAGCATCTTCTGGGGATCCTCTCTGCCCGGAAACAGAGAGTTTGACCAGCACAGCTGGAGACGAATCTCCAACTGCAGACCGACATACAGTATTTACTACTGTATTTATGTGAATGGGGTCATACCCATTATCGTCCGTAGGTATGCTACAATAGCTGGAAAGCATGGAGCCGGAAGATAGTTCCACAAGCGAGAAGTGTGAGACAATAAACTGTTAGCATCGAACTTACGATAGCATCTAGCCTCTACATGACGAGATCGTGACTCAAATTTAGTACTGCGCATGAATTAAAGTTCAGGTACCACAGCGAAGAGCGATATTCATTTTCGAACTAGAATACACGTGACCCGTTGGGCCCCTGACGGTTCAAGTTATAAAACATTGAAGATGATTTTCAACATTCCATTGAAAAGAAAGTTAATTTTATTAAGAGGTACGTGAAGTTAAATATTTCAGTTCGCTCATGTCATCATTGGTCCGCTTTACAAGTTCATGTTTAACGTTTTACAGCATTTAATATGAATAGAACTTCCAGGATAAACTTGAAATTTAAATCAGATTAATTTAAAAACATCTTTTTAATATGTCAAAAATATTTTTAAATCATATTCATTTGAAAATATTTTTTTTAAATATGCCAAAAAATTATTTTTAAATATTTAAAATATTGTTTGTTTACAGAAAGTTGAAATATAAATAATTACTCTACAAACAACTGGACAAAACAGCAAAGCGGGATTTCTTTGTGTCTGTCTTTAACTTAGAAATATTTTAATTTAAAAAATTGTCGGTTTGAAGAAAGGTAAAATAAAAATACTTACTGTATAAACATATTGTATTTTTAAATCTTATTCACTTAAAATATTCTTTAAATCAGAGTAACTTAAAAATATTTTTAAAAATATTTAAAATATTTTTAAAGAAAGTTGAAATAATGATTCGACAAACAACTGGACGAAACAGCAAAGCGGGATCTCTTTGTGTCTGTCTTTAACTTAAAAATATTTTAATTAAAAATATTCTCTGTCTGAAGAAAGTTAAAATAAAAATACTGTATAAACAACTCGTGAACCATTATGCACCGGACGGACACACCACAAAAGCACGCACGCACGCACGCACGCAATCGCGGAAATTTAGTATTAGATAGATAGATATATAGATAGATAGATAGTGCATCAGATAGATAGATAGATAGATAGATAGATAGATAGATAGAACCAGATTGAGATAGATAGATAGATAGATAGATAGATAGATAGATAGATAGATAGATAGATAGAACCAGATTGAGATAGATAGATAGATAGATAGAAAGAGAGTGCATCAGATAGATAGATAGATAGATAGATAGAACCAGATTGAGATAGATAGATAGATAGATAGATAGATAGATAGATAGATAGATAGATAGATAGATAGATAGATGTGGCACAAGGCCAAAAAAGGAATGGGGAAATGATGGTCTTTTTCTATTTTATAATTAAACTTAGCTACTAACCCGCAATCCTGAAGTTTTTGATACTCAGATTTTACTTTCTGAGATTTTTTACGTGATATTTTTGCAACGAATTTTTTGTACGATAACAATTTTCATAACTTGGAAATAAATTTGGAAATAATCGAAATTAATTGCGAAAGTCGCCCATGAAATAATAATTGTTTGTACAGAAAGTAAGGACCTACGTACATGAAATTGTCTTCAAATTAAGTAGCGGAAAAAGAATTATCGTTAAACTTTTAAAAGATAAGCTTAAATATTAATGCAATAATTAAATGCAGCGATCAATCTTGCGTTCTGTAGTTTATTGTTGCTTATCGCATCTACTCCTCCCTAACTATTGTGACGTAGACCCAATCAACAGCCTTCCGCAGGATCTAGCTTAAAGTGCGGATTTTAAGCTAGTTGTTAATAATAGCGAAAAACTGGACAGTCAAGTCACTTCGAATGAGAATATCTTTACCTAGATGCAGCTGTTAATAACGAAAGTATCTTAGAGTGGATAGACAAACAGCGTCTTTTCAGGAACAGGCTCCAGTATGTAAATTAAGTATAAGATTTCCAAAGCGAAGGACGTAGTGATACTGGAAGTTCTGATGTGCTAAACAGTGTTGTAAACTTGAAAATCAATGGCTTTTTATTTTTAATCAATTAACTCCAAGCAAGGCGATAATGTAACTAAGACGCAACTTTCCACTGGGAATGAAAGAGAATGGAAAGGATTTTAGAAGTAACCAGAAGCCCAATCCTAAACGAGGGAGAAGGGGTTTACGGACATATCACGTTGAAACCCCAGTTGTCGCCTAAGTTAAGCAAAGTTGAGTCAGTACCTAGATGGGTGACTGCTTGGGAATACCAGGTACTGTAAACTTGGATGTGTGGGTGGTGTAATGGATAAGGGCTGGGGATTGGAAATCGGAGAACGGAGTTCCAATTCCAGTCGGGTTTGTTATATTCACTTTAGCGCAATTACCCTTGGAATATATATTAGTTTACCTCGTCCCCCCCAGTTAAAGAGCAATAGTAGGACCTGCATCAGTAAATCATTATTATCACCCAAACTTTCTTACAGTCCCCAAAATATTTTCTGGCTTTAAATAACCTGCAAATGCTTGAAAATTCGTAGAAAACAAATCAATTAGTCAGCCAGGAAACAAGAGATAAAGCTCTACTCCTGATCAAAACACGTAGGAGGATTGTTAGGCGGGCGAATTTTGTAAACAAAAAAATCTCATGCTAGGGTATAGATGCGCAGCTTAGGGGTTCCACCCGTGTTCAAGTTCCTTTCGAGATCATTATATTCACTTCTGCACAAAGGCCCGTGAGAAAGCTGTGACTCCCTCTCGCCTCGCCCCCATCTATGGGTTAAATACCATGGCAAACTGGACTTTCGAGAAGTGCTAGTATAGGAAAAAAACAACTCTTAATTCAAATTCATATACGGAACTTGTGATGCACATGAACTTCAACTAAGTTTCGCTCAGCAAAGTTACAGTGTAAAACCACAGGTTGACACCATGGGTATTGAAGAAACACGAACAGGCTCGAAAGGGCGGGCATGCTCAGAAAACGAGCAATGATGCTGAAGATGGTGAAATGCAACTAATATGCACTGTAATGTGCCTTATAGTCGAATCAGGTCTTATGAATGAATGAGATGAAATGAAATGGAAAGCCTATATTGAATCAACTGCAACGTCTGCTGCGAGGAAAGTTGGTTCACTGTGTCATGCTTTTCATGTTTTATATATATATATATATATATATATATATATATATATATATATATATATATATATATATTAATGCATGTTTCATTAAATAATATAGACAAGTTTTGTCTATTTATTCTAAGTAAATTCCTTTCATATAGTCGAATAAACTTTTTAGCATAATCACTGAAACACGAAAGAAAATCCCCATGTTGATACATGTTTTTATTGTTAATCCTGTCTAAGCTTTCGGCTTCCATAAGCCATCATCAGAGATTACAAGTACATTACAATAAATTAAATAATAAATTATATAACAAAGATGATAATTCTTTATTTTAGAATGGTTATGCGGACATTGCAACAATGCTAGTTTGTTTTGTTTGCATGGAAGAGACTATGCAACGATAAATTCGTGCATGTGAAACGCAGGAAGCAAATATCGCATGCGGTTCATGACGTCACACATGGCCACGTGAAAGTGTTAAGTATGCAAAGCCGTTGGTATAAACCAATAGCTCCTTTTATTAACTATAAGCATTTAAGTATATTTGTGGAGTGTTCATAGTTTATATTGTTCAGGTTAGGTTTCAACTGCTTTATGTAAATAGCTTTAAGAATTTTTAGTTTTTGTTTATTGTTTTCATGGTTAAATATACTTGTATTTTCAACAAGGATTTTCCGGAATTGTGTATGTATCAGCATAGTGATTTTCTTTCGTATTTCAGTAATAATACTAAAAATCTTATTCGACAATATGAAAGGAATTTACTTAAAATAAATAGACAGAACTTGTCTATAATATTTAATAAGACATGCATTAATGAAAAAATGCTGCCTAATCATATATATATATATATATATATATATATATATATATATATATATATATATAGGTTTGAAACGGTACAAAGGCATTAAGGCATTAAAACTAGAAATGTTGTATTGCAGGCCATGATAAGTTTAAAAATAAAACACACCATCGATCTTAAGGTTTGTCTCTCGTCAGGAACTGTTAACGGGAATTTAGATTTTGCAAAAAAAGAAAAAAAGTCTGTCACATGAATGAATTGACAGGGAAGGAAGGAAAAAAAAAAAATTATACCAACCAAACTGCTAGAAGCGCAGAACAGCAAGTCCAAGCAAACAATCTCTTGGCCAGTTCGCACTCACTTTTTCCATCTTAAGGTGTTGGAGTCGCTTTACATCAGGTCCAGGCAGCCTTTCTTTGCAAACAAAGAGATTGTTTGCTTGGACTTGCTGTTCTGCGCTTCTAGCAGCTTGGTTGGTATAATTTTTTTTCCTTCCTTCCCTGTCCATTCATTCATGTCACCCATGACAGACTTTTTTTCTTTTCCTCATAATCTAAATTCCCCGTTAACAGTTCTGACGAAAGGGGACGAAACCGGTCGACTGGTGTGTGTTTTATTTTAAACTTATCATGGCCTGCAATACAACATTTCTAGTTTTTAATGCCCTAATATATATATATATATATATATATATATATATATATATATATATATATATATATATTTGTTTGAATAAATAACAGACCACGTTAAGATTCCATGTAATGTTACTTCACCATAACCCCTTTAACAGGGTTCTGGATCATCAGACTTTACTTCAAAAGCTGAAATGAAAAATGAAAAGAAATTCACACGTTTTTGACGGACCTCATCAAGTATACGTAAAGTTAACGAAGTGAGGAAGTGAGGTGGGAGAGAGGATATGAGTGTGTCATATGTATCATTTCAATTTCCTATTTTTAACACCAGTGTGTCGGCTAGATGTTGCTCAAATTTAACAAATTTAATAGATGGCTCAGGGCTGAATGAGAAGAACGACATTAAAGGAAGAAGCTACAACAACCCCAATCAATTACACGACAGGTTTCATTCAAATTCTTAGACGCTGTTAATTCGCGTTATTTTAACGTGCATATTTGGGAGGTTAAGGTTTGATAAATATCTAAATGTTTAAACAATCTACGAAGAAATTAATTTGAAATTCGGTGGAGTTTAGGGTATTTTCTATGAAACATTCGATTGGAAAAATCCATAGACAGAACATTGAAAGAGTAATCCATTTTATATTTAGTAATCTTTTTTATTCTACTAAAACTTTTATCTTATTGCTTGTTAGGTTGACATCTATTCATTTGATTTTTGTTCATTAAGTAAACTCGTGATTGTTTTTTCTTTTCATCTTTCATTTTAGCTTTTGGAAGTAAAGTCTGATGATCCAGAACCCTGTTAAAGGGGTTATGGTGAAATAGCTTATTACATGGAATCTTAACGTGGTCTGTTTTTTATTCAAACATATCTGCTCTGAATTTTACATTGAGCTCTCTGGATATCATCCTCCTCGGGTCTACCCATACGGATTACCTAACGGATAAACTATATATATATATATATATATATATATATATATATATATATATATATATATATATATATGTGTGTGTGTGTGTATATGTCAGTCTACTATTCGTTTAGCATGGGAGGTCGATTTTGAAACCGTGGTATTGCTCTCAATTTGAAAGTTGGTGCTTGATAAGGATACGAAACATTATTTTCCAAATTCTTAACATTTTTTTAAGGAGACGAGTTTAAACATTAAGTTTAGGTTCAAAATCATCGTAACGTTGAAATTTAATTCCGGTGGTCAGTAAAAGTCTCATAGCACAGCCTTATAAAATTTATAAGTTTCTGAAGCTTTACACATTGTATATGGACAAGACGCATGGTGGAAGCACATTATTACTAAATAATTGTGTCATCAAATAAGACCTTCATTTAATTCAATGGCAAATTATACTGAATAATTTAGCTATATTATGATGTAATATGCTATTCAATGCAGTAGTTTTAGTGTGATTTTCAAAAACAATGCAAATTTTAATCTTTTTATCGTATTATTTTTGCCAAGCAGTATTATGGTGTTATATAAACTTAATGTATGTTTTGATTTTATTATGATCTAAAAAAATCTTATTCATTGAGTAGGCTTTTTTTGTAATCTTTTACAAATTTTTACAGTTTTTACTTATCGAATACAGTAAAAATATTGGATATTATATTTGTAGTGATTCATAATTAGAATTCTGGTTTTAATATATTTTCTATTCAATGTATCTAATATAAAAAATGTCAACTTTATTTGGATTTATTCTTAAAATAGTAAAATTTTGAAGTCAGCTTGTAAGCTACGGAAATTAGATATTTTTTTTACATTTTTTAAGAAGATATTTAAATCTAAATGCTCAAAAATTAGTAAAAGCTATGAATCTAATTTCTCATGTTAGAACTTATCATATAAAACCCTCAGCTTTCATACCGAGTGCAATGTTGATTTTCTAAACGAAGTGAAAAATCAACCTGCTCTAATGTTACAATAGACGTCTCTGATTTTAAACAGGCACATTAATATATACTAGCCTTGTTCGGCAATTAGTTGGAGATTCGTCTCAGTTAAGCTAGTCGAATTCTCTGCATTCAGGCTATGCCGAAGGGCAGAGTCTCGTCTGGGAAGGTAGACAGCTAGCCGACCCCGATTTTTACGGGGTCTACGAGGAATTTTTGCCCGAGCTTACAGGCTCGGTTTTACCCCGCATTAAAAAAAAGGACATGTGCCACATCCTGCCTCGCGGGGTGGTGAGGTAAATAACCTTGTGATCGAATGTCTTGAACAAAATGTGTTTCCAGATAGAAATCTATTTTATATTCGATTTTTAAGTTGAAAAAATAAAACTTTCAGTCCATAGGCCGATAGGTGATTTTACTATTTAAAAAAAGTACAATGGTGTCTAATGAAACATGTATATCCAAGCAATAAAAGCTTTAGTGTTTAATTTTAAAAAAAAAGAAAAAAAAAAAAAAAGGTTGATTAACTGTTTAAATTTTAAAATATTAAATGCAAGTGACCAATAGAAAAAGTTCTGAGCCGGGATTTTTCTTTTCAATCCGTAACATTACTGCGGACCAAATAGGTGCCGACGCGATTAAGTTAAATCATATCTTTAAATTTAACCCCTCCCCGTACCGGCACGGTGATTATTTAGTTCTATTCGGTCATTTTATAAAGTTAGAATTTCTACTGGTATTACTATTCCAGACGACACTTGTGCAAAAGTGTGGCGTCATTATAATTAAGGTTTATCTTAACTGTTTGATAAATTTTCATAAGAGAGACTACAATCCACTATCTTATATCCATTCATTCGGGCTAGTTTCGCAGTCTGAAATTAATACAGTATCAAATTGCCTTTCAAGTATCTGTTGCATTTTCTAGCTTTCCAAAATGGCTGAACAGTTATTTAAGAATAGCGTAGATATACCGTTCTCATTCTTTTTGTTAGGTTTCGTTCTGAATTAACATGTCGCCCAACCAGTACATATTTCTGGAATATTTATTGTGGGAAATTCCCAATTGTGGCTCATGGCCTAAAAAAAAAAAAAAAAAAAAGGAATGGGTTGAGGTTGGTCGACACTATATTATCCTATACCTAGCTAATCCGATTCACACATTCACGATAAAAACTCGTCCGTCACTAATCAATCCTCCATACACCACAATACAGCATCCTCTCAAGGGGATACCTACAAAACGCGCCCCATGCCATAAAAATTTAATGAAAATATACATAAAAATTTAATAATGAAGAATGATAGGGAAGGGAGATGAGCCCAATAATAAACTAAAAATCAACACAAAAACTCAACATAACTGATGTTAGTAGGGCCCGTCCAACCCTCAAAAAAGGAGAGGCGCTGTATTCTGCCCATTTGAGAAAATCAAGAGGTTCTCTCGCTAATGGAGTGGGAAAAGGATAAAAAAAAATATACAGACATAGGGAAATAAAAAGCTGACCCAGTTGAGATGAAAGTGGGGCCAAAACAAACTGGGGAGGTTGGGAATCTCAACCTGGATCATAACCAAAGATGTGTCCGGGGACAGGCTAGGAACAACACTTACATTAACTAGGTACACAAAAGCTTGTCTAACCTATAACCAAGGGGAGGGCTCCACAGGAAACCACCCCAATGTGACGTAGGTTGACCTAAAAGAGAAAAATCAAGACTAGCCCCGTGTGCATATTTCTGGATTGCTTCACCAAACGATTGAACACACACAAAAAAAAAAAAAAAAAAAGGGCGTTAATTCTGAAACTATATCGTCTGTCATCACGAGTTCGGGAGAACGGTAATGATGGCGGAAGTTTTTAAAAAAAAAAAAAAAAAGAAAAAAAAATGGCACAAGTTAAAACAAAAAACAACTTTTTAAACTGCTTAAAATTAAGCACCAATAGCTGTTTAAGTTTAAGCTATTTAAAGCTAAATTACTAATGAGAAGACAGTTGTTTGTTTACTTCTGGTTCACTTGTCTGGTCACCGTCAAGTACACATCATTGATTTCAGTGGCTCTTCTACCACAACCATCTCATGGAAGTAATTAAATAATTAAAGAAAAAAAGATTGGCTTACAAGGATTTAAAAAAAAAACAAAAAAACAAACGGATAATATCAACGACTATCAGATGGAGAATTTTTCCTTTTTTCTTTCTGCTTGTGAATTTTTCTGCATTATCGGTGTCAGTATTATATAAATTCAAGAAATAGTTGTATATTGACCAGCAAGGAGCTGCTAATGTAGATTTTTTTTTCTTAGCATCAAAGAAGCCATCTGAAGAGAATATTTTTCTTATTAACACTGAACGTTTGATGGGCCGACCTTGGTCCCCCCCCCCAATAGAATTTTATTTAGGTACAGTGCGGGTGTGGTTAGTGAACGAGAGTCTAAAGAACAGACACCAAAGAAAACTTATAACTTAATTCAGGCCCTGCTGAGGAGACTAGACACGTCCGCTCCTGTCATATCACAGCAAAAGTGGTTTACGATATATATTAGTTTTTAGAAGTTTGCTCTAAAATAAAAAAAAAAATTAAAAAAAAATCGACAGATTATCAGCTAGATTTTGTTAGTCATGGATGATAGTCGATACAAGAGGGAGTGTCTCGCATGATATATTTACGCTGGAGAGAAGACTGTTCGGGAATCTGAAACCGTAAAAGAGGTAGCCAGAATGTATATTATAGTAGATTCGTTCTCGTTGATTCGTGTTAATGAGGTGGTAGGGGAAATAATCCCGAAGTCACAATAAATTCTAAATCCGAAACGCTTCATGTATATCTATATTTGGTTTATTATTAAAAAAGATCGAGCGAAGAGTTGGCAAATCTCAAGAGAAGCGTTAAAAGATGTTGATTATGACAAGAGCGTGTTGCCGACTCTTAGTTTTAGTCCACAGGATTGGGCGTTTTGTTTTTTTGTTAAGACTGAGGAGAACTGTGTGGCCCTTGCAGAATTTTGACGACATTTTCTGCCGCTTTTGCATCGCAGGAAGCAGTTTCCAGTGCACTCGCTCTCAAGGCGATTTCGTATAGGGTCACGTAGCGCCCTTCATCATCATGTAACACTGAAATCGACTGGGGGTCAGATTTGTGAGGTATGGCTGGCAGAGTCGGTAATTTCTCTGGTTGGGATTCCCCAATTAAATGAAGCGACTCCATCGACAAATATTCCTCCGATGAACTGCAACAAAGACCCATTTTGTTTTTTTTTCTCCTCGCCGTTTTACCGAAAAGCCACTAACTCAGGAAAAAAAAATCTATTTTATATTGACACGGAAAGTACCCGGATAAAGAAAGATTGTATCCAATATATATATATATATATGTGTGTGTGTGTGTGTGTGTGTGTGCGCATGCGCGTTCAATAAAGACATAAAACAAAAAAGCTTTCTTTGCCGACGCGTTTCGTCCTCTGATGGGTTTTATCAAGCTAAATATAGGATGTTATTTTGCAAGCATTTATGAACAAAAATAAAATAAATAGTTTCAGGTTAACTATGAAAGTTAAGGTAAACTATGGATGATGTTAAGTGATGCAATTTAATGTCTAATGCAACGAAAGTGAGAAAATCTGGTTACTGTGGTTTTTAAACATTGTAAATTTGTATAAACTGAAATATATATATATATATATATATATATATATATATATATATATATATATATATATATGAGAGAGAGCGATGAAACATATCGAAAATCCGTTTTTATGATTGCCTTTTTCAAGATACTCGCTTGATTTTCTTTTTTTAATTTTCTCGACAGTCTCTACCTTTTTGTATACATTGGTGATTTGTGGAATCTGAAAACTGGTTTCGGATTTCAGTTGTATTCGTTACATTTGCTTACACGTAAATACCCTACGGAAATTTAGGAATCCGTCTCCTCCCTCAACTATGGGTTAAATAGTAGGACGTGTACCTGAAAAAAATCATTGTCATTCTCAAAAATAAGTAAATAAATACAAAAAATAAGTGAAATATTCACTCAAAAAAATAAAATTATTTTTACAATCAAAAACACATTTTCACTTTAAATAAAATACAAAATCTTGATAGCCCGTAAAAAGAAATCCATCAATCTCGCTCCAGAAAGTCCTGGCCGCTCTTTCCTAAGTTTCATTTAGATCAAAAATTTATTGTTTAATACCTTCCCATAACACATATATCCGCCATTTTTTTAAATACGTTTTCTTGGGTTTATTTTAAACAGTAATTATTTTGTCTACCGGCTTGCGTACTCGAGAAAACTTAATATAGAACCAGCGACCCCCCCCACCACCTACAAAAGGAAACACCGTCTTTTTTGGCGTGCTTTTAACGTTCAGCTAAGATGATCTCCACAATAAGGGAAGGTTCTATTTTGACTTTAAAATACTAAATCGTACGGCCCAGTCGTAAGAATTTGGTATGATTTGATATGAAGAGATGGCAATAAAATTTCTTTCTACTGGGATAACAGTGAAACACATTTTTATCCATATGCATATTGTCTATTGGGACGGACAGTAAGGGTTCGAATTCAGCCAAGATTCGAACTCTGATTGTCTATTTTCATTTTTTGCTATTGTTACTTGTTTTTTCTTATCGCAGACGTTTAGAGAGCTGAATAAATCAAACCCGTAGTAAGCTGTCTTCATCGGACTTTTGCGAAAGTTTGGTTAATCTAGAGATCGCGTGTCGTGCGAAAGAAGCTTAGTGTTTAACCTTGAAGGGCTCCTCGGCGTGGTGTAATGGTTAGCAAGCTGGTCTTGCTAAAACTGTTACAACTGAATAGTGAGTTCGATCGTCACTAGGTGCCTCATACTTTCGGCCATGTGCCACATCTAAGCCTCGCTTAGAAAATGAAAGTGTTGACTGGGTCAGTCTGAAGTCGGACGTCCGGCTGAACTCTCTGCCTTCGGGCGGGGAGGAACCCGAACGAGTCTACACCGAAGGGCGGAGTCTCTTTCGGGGAGGTAAACCGACCCTGAACCCGTTTATACGGTTCAAAGGGCATATTTTTTCCCGAGCCCACGGCCTCGGAGATCCCACGTTAAACCGGCCTTGTGCCACATGATACCCTCGTGGGAGTGGGTGACTAAATACTAGTGAATTGACTGTTCCCGGATATTACACTTTTGAGATAGACTTATCTGCCCAGCCCAGTTAAAGTAGAATAATTCTCGTTAAATTTACCTAAGGTATGTATAGTCACTGTATCTTTTCTTTCTTCATTTTCATTTGGCAGCATTCCCCCGTTTTTTCACGTTTCTCTTCCCTCCCCGTGGGGTGAAAGACATCAAAGGTTGCTGGCGTTGTATGAATGATTCGCTTAATTCCTGTTATTATTTATTTATATTTTACATGTATGTGATTGTAAAAGCGGTATCTTCTGTGAAAGGCTTGCCAGCTTAGCCCAGCTAAGGGTGAACAGGCTTGCTTTTCTCTTGTTACAATAGACAAAGTTCTCCGTCACTGTTGGAATTATTCGTTTAGCTTTACATCTTCTCACATCAATTGGTCAACAATATACATTTTGAAATGGTGTCGAGACACCAAACATCTCTTTTAGCTAATTTGAGGGGGGTGCTCTGAATTTGAAAATGACTTTACTTTTTCTTGGTTAGCTAGCGTTTTTACTGTACAGAAATGACTCATTTTTGGAAGCATTTTTCATTTTTTTTTCTGTAAATATGATATTGACCGATGGAAATATTTCTCAAAATAAAATCGTAGAAACCTATCAATTCGTATCTAAATCACAGATATTGGTCTGCTTATTGAGAAATACTATTTTTGCAATATCAATTAGACCCTAAGTCTTTAAAAATAATACGAATGAATATACCAAGACCAACAAGTATTTTCATCAAATCATTTAATAAACTAACAGCAGAAATAAGAACTTCGTAAACATAAGAACTATGGTAAACATTTTCTCTTTCTTGATTGTCTGCCACGTTCAATGTTATTTAAGTCCCTTTTGATATTCCAGCAGTATCATGTAAAATGGAATAGGTGCATTCAATTGGGATGTCTTTAGCTGGAGTTTCTTTCCAACTGTAAAAGCAAAATGTTCTCAATGTGTTTGGTTTCCTTCCGTTGTGAAGGGATAAAAGTGATGGGATAAAGTCATGAATATCAAACAGAAGATTTTAGGGTTTCATTTTTTTTGATGTAACCTTAATTATCAGGTTTACTAAAGTGTATTACTGATAAAATTTATCAGTTAATTTGAATTTGGGATATAAATTGGAAAAATTCGGTACGTCTGTTTTGAAATTTTTGACTCAAAAACACTTTTTTCGTATAAAAATATTTTATTTCAGGTGACTGAGATAAATGGCTTGGCCTACATGAAAATTGATGGGTTTCTACGACCTTTTATTACCTAAATTTTGCGATCAGCCAAGATCGTAAATGGATCTTTTTTCCAAAACTGAGCAATTTCAGTACAGTCAAAATGGTAGCTAAACATGAAAAACTAAAGTCATTTTTGAATCAGCTCCATCAGTTTAGCTAAAAAAAAAAAAAAAAAAACGTGTTTTGTTTCTTGGCAAAAAAAATCGTGTTTACCAGTGTTATTATTAATATTATTTGATATATCCTGGGCACGTGGCTGAGTGATTAGAACGTTTGCATTCTGACTATGAGACCCGGGTTCGAATCTCACCATGGTCGACTTGTCAGGAAGGAGACTTCATGATGTTATCAGACTGAAGGGGCCGATCCTAGCGTACGGCACATTTGGAAAGTCACAAGTCATCGAGGGCTTGAGCGTGCTGGCCTTGTTCAAATTGTTGATCACGCTCTCACCCAGAAATTGTGACAGCACAGTTGAACCAGAGGTTAGCTCTGTGGGTGTTGAAATAAGCGTCTGCAATAAAGATTGGCTAGCCGTCCTTGTAGACGGGTATTCTCGAATACGAATGGCCAGCTATATCGCGGAGACAGTCTTAAGGTATGCAGATTGATGGTTTTCTACGACATTTATTAACTAAATTTTGCGATCAGCCAAGATCGTAGATTCTTTATTTCCAAAAATGAGCAATTTCAGTACAGCAAAAATGGAAGCTAACTATGAAAAACTAAGGTCCTTTTCGAAATCAGCATCATCCAGTAAGCTAAAAACGTTTTGTTTCTTGGTACCCAAAATCATGTTGACCAGTGTTACTAATCGGTTAACTGGCTTTGTCTGCCATATTAAATCGGCGAGGGTCGTATGTTCATGCCTTTCTTCTGTAAATATTATTTTGTAGCTTTCAAATTTTAATCGGAGTATACGAATGATATGTCTATGAAAGTGTAAAAATAGGTTTTAATACCTGCAGGTATTAAAACCTATTTTTACACTTTCATAGCGTTTTGACCCCAGTTTGGGGGTTAACTATTTGCCCATAGCTAGGACCCTAACAGGTACTACCACCCCGGTCACGGTGGACCTGGGAACACTAGCAATTAAGAGGTGGTTCCACGCTCCTCAAAACCTTATAATCAGATACCTTGCTGTTGGTTGTAATTTATCGTCTTACCCAGGACGGTTATGAGATATGAGGAATCATCATCCTGTTATAGTTGTATTTGTGCTTCACTTCGTTAGTTCGCACGACCCTTACTCCCTGCCAATACCTTATAAATAATGGACTATTCCGTTTTGATCGCGTGGAAAGAAAGGAAATGACACTACTTGGTTTCAATGAGCAAAAGAAAGTAAAAAGGGACAGTTGAAGTGGAGGAAGAGAATCAGATTAAGCTGATAGGAGCAGATACTCCACTTTCATCATAGCCGTAAAGCCGAGAAGAGATGGCGACTGTGACCATTTTTTAGACAATCGAACGACGTAAACCGAGGAAAGCAATCGCCAAAAATCCAGTTACCATAAATAAAATAACATCGTTTCGCGAATTATTTTAAAATTATTATTGAGAGAAATTTTTGTAAGACAGGAATTTGGAAAGAAAGAAAGTGTTTAATGTCTCCTGCCAATACCACAGAAATAATGGACTACTCCGTTTTGATTGCGTAGAAAAATAAAAGATATACGCTACTTGGTTTCAGTGAGAAAAATGAATTTTTTTTTTTTTTTTTTTAAGCATTTCACCCCAAGCAAGGCGAGAAGCCACTAGGACGCAAGGGGTTTCAGAAAATTTTTGAGCAAGATCAGATAGGAGTGATAG